CACTTATGCTCCAAGCGCCGATAGACCCAAGGTTGTAAAGACCAGGTTGGAGCTCCAAGCCCAGAAGGAAAGGTTCATTCAATCGTGTAGGCCTCTGGGGCCTGCACGTGCGTAGGTGGTTGGGTAGTATAGGCCGGCGAGGGGGTTTTGGTATTGGGCAAATGTGGCATCGACAAGGTTGTGAATGCAGCTGCTTGTTCTTGCCGCTTCTTGCCTGCAGGAAGTGATCCGGTGTATCCGCAGCCAGATGCGCGGATGTACAATCTGCTGATCAAGGAGTTGGTCAAGCAGCGAGGTGCCTCGGACTATTCGTAGGCTTCGGGACGGAGGTTGCAAACGGCCTCTCAATTGCGTTGCCGGCATGACTTGCCGGAGTAGTTCGGTCCAAACCACGGTGCTGGTCTAGTCTCAAAACAAGGGCCCCATACTGTAGCTGCTTATCCATCCTGCATACACACCTTTGCAAGATGCATTCAGAACGTAGTGCCGCAAATAGGGCATGGACGCATGGGAAGCAGTGGTGGAAGAGGTTCCCCAAATGAAGGCCCCCGGAGGCTGAACTCTCTCGTTTGAGCCACGCTCGGCTTTTGGTGACCTATCCTCGGCAACAGAAGCACAAATCGGCTTCATTCACGCGGAGAGGAGAGAAGCAGGAATTTAGGTGCTTGGCGCAAACAGAAAAATAGGGCTCAACATCCAGTGCTGTCGAGGGAACTCTGCTGCAGCTCCGCAGAAGGGTCCCCGTTCAAGTCAAGAACAATCAACTGAATCGATGTTTGGACCATTCCTGCTTTCACTCTCGTATAGACATGTGCATTTTATATTCATTGTACGCAAGCCCTGAACAGTCAAACAGCAAAGGATCTTGAACCGCACGCCCAGCCCACTTACCCTTGTTGGCAAAACAGGGAATGTGGCAACTATAATGTCATTCGGCTAGCGGCTAACAAGTGCAAGCACTCGCTTGCTTTATTATATACCACGCGTATAACTCCTATTCATCTTCCTACTCGACTAGCTCTCCAGATCCTTCGAGCCTTCGAGTATATCCCTACAGGACTGAGCACTGCGACCAGTCTTTGGTCCCGAATGGCGGATCCTTGGCCGTAGCCGCAGCTAAGGATACTCTGGGTTCAGAACCTGGTTGCAAGCACAGGCGTGCACGCATGCGTACGTACACGTACGCAAACTACTTTTGTACACATAAACAAATTCACATGTAGGCATACAGGCATGAACATAGATAGTGCCATACACATATGCGTAAAACAGATACATGCACAGACAAGTGAATTTAAATAAGACTGCACTAATGTAAGCCCATGAGTACATGCAGAATACACAGACAGTGTCAATATAGACGATATAGAGAGAGAAAGAGCTGCGGCTGATCTGCTTCTTGGTGCGAATGAGTTTCGGATTCGACTTGGCAGCATTGATATCCTTCCAGGGGCAGGACAGATGTTTCGTCAGGTTCTGCGTTAAAGCAAGTTGTGGCATCTCGCCCGATGCTGCATGCTCGGCCCTTGGCGCCCAGATCCGCCGTGAGAGAGGGATCGCCTAAACTTAACCCATACTGCCCATACGCCCGCTGAGCCGTGAAGCCTCACTATAGGTCTATATAGGTCTCGCCGGTTTTAGAATTTTGAAGCCTTCCGGCTTTGAATGACCCCAAGCCCATGAGCCCAGGCCAGAGGCCTGGTCCCAGATGGCGTGCAGCTGGGCTCAAAAGAGGGGGGGGAAATGGTACATCTTAAGGGGTTTCGTTCCCCAGAGTTCCAACCGCTCTGGGGCAATGTTAGTTAACAGGAACCCACATGACGCCAGAATTGTAGGCTTGCAGGGTTTGGGAGATCGGGTCTGATGCTCCAGGCTTGCAGGTCTTTTGGCGGCTTCATGGGAGGAACTGGTTTACTGTAGGGTTCATCTTCTGGGACATCTCCGTGGCACAGGGACCGTTCAGGGATTGGCATTTGGCTGACCAGCTATGCAGAAAGACGTGCAAAATCAAGGCTGAGCCTACTCGAGGCCCCAGCTCAACGGTAAAAGCCCATTGTTGGCGGATCTCCTGAAGCTACAGATACTTCTTGCTCATGGTGGCGGTCTGCGCGAGCTCCGACCCACCACAGCTGGATCGGGCCAAGAGGTATCTTCGCCGAGGCCAGACCCTTTCGTTCTCTGTTCGAGTTGAATCGAGTCAGGGTCGGGGGCCTGCCGTCGTGAACCGGAAACTCGACAACACAGCCTGCTCCTGGCACGCCTCGAAGATTGCAAAGGCACACTTGCCCAAGAGCAGGGGATTTCATGGCAGGCGAAACGCTGATGAAGAGGCAGAAAGTGAATTTCCGCTTCCAGCGCGAGTACGCAGCTCGGCCGATGCTGCCGCTCTTCTTTGGGTTGAAGACTTGTTTACTCCTGCAAGAACAGCGGAGTTTTTGAGTTTTGTCATGCTGTTGGGATCTTGCGGATCCAGGAAGTCAGAGTAGCTCAGATGTCGTGTTGGCCTTCCGGTTGAACGCAGAGGCCGGTAACCTCTGGTTCCTGCCTGGCCCATTAAACAGGCTATGTATGTGCCCACACGAAGCAACGGCTTCACGCGGGCCTTAATTCGGATGTTCTGTAGTATTGGATCCATGTTAGGGGACGCCTTCTCCGAAACTCCAGTGTAAGTCGTGTAATTATATTGTGTTGTAGTTGTGACAATAACTCAGTTCTGACAGGGCTCGTAGCCCTAAAGTGATTTCAGATTCAGGGCATCACCGCTTCCAGGACGTGGCCCAACTATACACAGCCCTGATGGCAGGCTACCTGAGGCACGTAGGGCCTCGAGTTGGTTCAAGGCTTACGCAAGCAGCTTCAGGCTTCTACTTGTAGGGCAGTGTAGGGTTTGCTTAGGCCGTGCACGGCAAAAATGGTGGCCGTAAGAAAGCTGCATCCGTAATTCGGGGCTTCTGCTCGCACACGTAGAGCTGTTGCTGTGGTTATATAGGTTTCTCATTCTTGGTTAGGGTTTGGTTGCCGGCTGGAAGTGAATTTAACATTGTTTGTGTTGGCCTTCTGATGTTGAGTTATCTTTCCTTGCTGCCTCTACCTTGGGCACTCCTGAAGATGCCCCAAGCCAACAGGATGGGTCGGCTGACGGAGGCCTTCACTGTCCTTGGGACGATGCGCCAGCACGGTGTACGACCCAGTGCTGCCCCTTTGTCTTGATTGGCCCAGTCGGAGTTGGCACAGCAGTCTTGTCTGCACTTGCTGGCCATTAGACGAAATAGGACCGTACACAAGACAAAGACAGTAAGCGTCACCGTGAGCATGACAACGGTCATCATCATCGACGTCATCGTCATCATTCTCATAGAACAGAAGACACTCATGCGCTTGCCGCGTCGAGGTCGTAGTATTCTTCCGAGAAAACCGAGAACCGCGTCCGATGAAAGCCCATGGTGTATGTCTGTGTGCTGCAGCCCACCAGGTCACGTTTTGCATCCTCCAGCAGTGCTGCTTTGCGCGCATGGATCCTTCTGCCGATGTTCGGCAGCTGCTGCGAATTATGGAGCAGATCGGAGTTCCACCCGCCTCTTGTGCGCATGGCAAGCTCAATCTTTGCACCGTATGCTCATTTCTCTCGCAACCTTAGATACTTCCATCTCACTGAACTCAGACTGAACCAGCAAGATAACTTTAAGCTTGTTGGGCTTGTATGGCTTATATGTTTGCTCCATGATCAAATTCAATTTCTCGGCGCTTGGTTATTCAAGGAGAGAGCTTGTCGTTGAAATCTGGTGTCCTGTTGGTCAATTAAGTCTTAGGCGTCCCAAAATGTCCCAAAGCTGGACCCTGCGAGATCAAAGCTTGAGCGTGCGCAGTGGTTCAAGGAGACGTCCAACTACAACGAGCTTATCAAGCTTCTTGGCAGAAGCAGGCTTTCACAAGTCAACATCCTATTCTGCACCAGCCTGGAATGTGCTCGAGCGTGTTTATCACGAAATCGAATCAAAGTGCCCAAACAGGAGGCAACATGAAGTCACTCAGTGACATGCTTGTACACTGTGGTATAGATTCCGAGGCCGCAACCCCGCCATATATGCATCAGAGGACTTTTGAAGGTGTTTTGCTAAACAGCAAAAAGGACCACAGTGCAAACATAGCTTCATTTGAAACCACTCGTACCTCCAGCCATGCCCCAACCTTTGATTCTTGGCAGCGCATGGTCAGTGTGGAAGGAGGTGCAGCAATGTATGCAACCCAATTCCATCGCAGCAAGTAAGAAGAAGCCGACAAACGAAAGATAGTTGCAGCGATTATGAAGGCAGTGAAAGCAATCTTAAGCAGAGCGAGAATGATAAGCTTAGTACAAAGTAGCTGTGCTCACCTTGCACTGGTAGCACGCAAGAATCCAGAAGCGTGTAGCCAACTAGCATCCTGAGATGAGAACCGTTCAGACAACCACAATCCAACACCTGACCTGCTCTGACCATAGACAATCTGACGTGTCTCTTCAGCCGAGATGCTACGGCCTGCAAGGGCAGATGACCTTGGCACTTGGAGTGGCAAATCGAATGCGGGAGGCAAAAGGGGTCCGTATTGCGGCATCGGGGCTGATCGAAGTAGGGTTTCGGCTGGGCGGTAATCTAAGTTGGTCGGTGGCGTTAGGAGGCTGCTACTACCACTACTACTACTACTACTACTACTACTACTACTTCTACTTCTGCTCTACTTGTACTGCTGCTGGTGCTGCTGCTGCCGCTGCTACCACACTACACGGCTACTGCTGCTGCTGCTGCTACTACCACTTATTCTTCTTTGCTGCTAACTACTACTATACCACTACCACTACCACTACTATTTCTTCTTCTTCCTCTTTTACCAAAAAACTGCTACTACTACTGCTACGCTGCTATTAGGAGTATTATTAATCATAGTCATACATAGAAATCGTACTCGCATCATTCGACGACGACTAGCACAACTTGTCTCACGACCGCCACTATTGCACCCAGGCAATGTCGAACAAGAAGGGAGCTGTGCAGACGTACCTGTGGCACCCGAAGACCCAATCAGCTTCGTGGCTATGGAAGAAAGCTTCCGGATTTGAAATTTGGTTGGGTTCAATGCCATCGCAGCAACATGATTGATCAGCTTCATCATTGGCCGGCTCAGTGAGGGGTGAATGTCTTTAACCATGCGCTCAGACTTAAATCCGATGATGAGGCAAGCAGAAGTTTTTTAGCTTGCGATTACCCAACGAGGCTCTTTGAGCCCTTGGTCAGGTTTGGGTTCCGGCCTCAAGTGGTGCGTCCATGTGCCTTATGCCATAGAATCCTCAAGTCCTAAACCCGATGTTTGTCCGAGTTGTGAGAGTGTAAACCTCTTCTAGAGACAACACCCCGTCAATTTCGGACATGCAGGAGTCGAACATAGAGCCCTGAATAGCAGGATCTTGAATGCAAGGCGACCTAGAGAAGAAGGACCCCTTCTTTGTAGTAACCCCCAGGAGTTCCTCGAGAAAGCGTTGTGGTCGACCGAGCCGGAAGAGCTCACGCTCATCCCACGCTTGGAGTTTGCAGACGGCGTGAGCAAAGTGAGCCAGCTATTGAGCATCTATCCGAAGGATCAGACGACGAAGGACCAGACTAAGGTTTTGAGAGAAATGTTTACTTTTCTCACGAGTTGCAAGCTGCTGCTTGGTTTCAGCCGGCAGCCTTAGCCGCGCTAGCGTGTTCATCTATACAGACTTAAAGCGTGAGGCATGCATACTTGATATCTACATGTTCTGCTACCAGTGACCAGCTGCAGTCGAACACCACACCCTGGAGCATGCCATCACAGCCAGGACACTGGCTCAGATGCTTGGGGCTGGGAGGTGATTCAGGCTGCTGGCGCCTATAGCGATCTCCAGAAGGAAGTGGAAAGACGCTTCGCAGAGCTGCGCCTCGTCGGCAAACGCGGGGTTTGTGGTGTAGAGTTTAGCAGTTCAGCGTGTGTGTGCGTGCTTGTGTGTGTGTGTGTCGCTTGGGTCTGAGATTTCAGGCGTTTGGGGGTTTGCGTGCAAGAGTTTGAAGGTTTCGGGTTTGGGCCGGTCGTCTTTTAAGTTTACGGTGAACTCCAAAGCGCTGGAAGATGGCGAAGGGATGATCAGTGCTGGGGCTCCCCATGCTTGATGTCAAGGGCATGAGCAAAATTGTGGGCTGCAAGATGCCAAAAGCATTGAAGAACATACACCCTTTGAGCAGTTTGTTAACTAAAACTCCTAAACAGATACTTGTAGTAGCATAGTAGCTATTGTATATGGGCTCAGGCTGCTGGGGCCGCTGAGCACGAGAAGTTGCAGAAGTTGAGTAGGCGGTGAGAACTCATGGGTGCCATGCGCGGCAGGTTGCAGAAAGAAACACATGGAGAGGCAGAACAGCACCACGAGGAATTCGAAGCACTACGAAGTTTTTTGACCAGAACTTTGCATGGGCGCACTGGACATTCCATGTCTGGCTAGGCCCTGTCATCTCTATTGCAACTATTGCGCTTTTTTTGGGTTCGGTTCTACTTTGTCCTGCGCGTCTGAGTGCATTACAGTTGCAGCATAGCACCGTCAACAAGGCAGTCTTCGTGCTCCGAGATTCAGCTTGTCATAAGGCGTGGAAAGCCTGTTGAGTGCGACAGCACAATTGCTGGGTTTCTGTTTTGACTGGTTGGCTCATTTGGACCGGCGCTTTGTGTCGAGCGGTGGCATCCTCTCGGCGCATTCTTGGCTGCCTGAGTGTAGGTGATGAGACCGTGCCGATTGCATGGAACTTTGGGATCACGGGATACCACGCTTTGACCGCTTTAGACACGTCCTGCAAGAGCTACTGCTCCCCACCCTCATGTGTGGGTCGACATTGGGTTGATGAGATGAATTACATTCGTAGCCCTGGGCGCCGGCGGTGGCGACAGGTTTGTCTTCGGGACTCAGAAGGTGATGCCGGCTACAGACTGCGCGTTGCGACGATGCCGATTCACAACTCTGCATGGGCTGGTAGAGAATGGACGTGAGAGAATGATGTGCAACGAATTTGTGCCTGCAAACCTGCATGGGACGTCCTGAGATTGGGATACGGGGCATCTTTTGCCATCATCTGCAAGTGAACCGATGCAAATCTGTTATTTGCATGCCGTTGAAAGTGAATTCATTCAAGCTTGCTTGTTGTGCTCCACATTTTCTGTGAGTGCCTCCGATGTCTTTCTGGGTTCAGCTGGGATCTTGTGGAGTCCTTGGACATGGAATGCTTGTTGACGAGATTATGGCAAAAATGACACTGGCAGAGAATTTGCTTTGGCCTCCGTGGCAAGAAGTCTGCCGTTTGAAATCGTGGTTGGGATCGCCGGGTTATAGCTGTGGCAAATTTGGTATGCAACTGACGGGAGAGCCACGTCTGGACCTTGCTGCTAGGATGGTAGCAGAACCGAGCATTCCATTGTACCTATATTGGTTGTGGTTGTGCTGCTTTGTGTTAAACGAAGTGTTCCGTGAGCTGCCTTGTAGCAGTTTGTTTGGGTTGGGTTGGTTTGGCTGCCAGGCCTCTTGGGATTTGTGCCTGGTGTCTGACCGTGACTTCTACGGATCATTGCCTGCCTTTTCGCAAGAGTCGAAACCCCTTATCGTATCCTTTGCCTTGTGCTACCCTAAACATATTTCTCGAAACCCGTGTAAATGCCCTTACAGCAACCCTTATTATGCTGCCTTGATGGTAGCCCCTCTGTGTTGGTATGCCGCGCAACATAGGGGCTTGACGGTCTACAGTAGTATAGTTGCTTTATAATATTCAGGGACCCTGGGGGATAGTGGTCCTAATGCAGACCTTGCCAGGCTTGTCCGAGTGTGAGTGTCAAGCAAATTGCAGCAATCAGTCATTGTCAGACCCTGCATCGTAGGTATCGTCCTAGCCAGGCGGGAGGCAAAAAATCAGTCAGGCTTCTACACTCGTCTCTTGAGTTTCCAAGGCCGGACCCCAGCTTCTGTGACAAGGTGGATGACCCTGAGGCCGAACCAAGTTTGATCCAATATAGGGCGTCGGAACACTTAGAATATGGTTTCGGGTTATAATTGCAGTATGATAGATTCCTGATTATATATCAGGGTTATATGTTGGGAGTTCTTATTGTTCCGTGCTGTATATATGATATGATGCATGGCTCGACAAGCATGAATGGTAGAGGCTCATGGTCCAAACTTGTTGACACCGCTGCTTTGCAGTTCAGGCTTGCAGCAAAATTCAGGATTTAGGGAGGTTTTGTTGCAGGATTTTGTAGTTTTGCGCGCTTACTGCCGAGAAAAGGAAACGTGAGTTGTCGCAGGTGGAGACGCTGCTCACAGCTTTGGGCAGATCGGACAATGCAGCCGCGGCCATGAAAGTTCTGGGGCCCCATGCAGGCAAGGTCAAGCAAGCAAAGGAAGCAGCGACTTGGAGAGAGATGAGCGCAGATCGCTTTCGGGGTTTTAAGTTTGAGTTTCTGTGCGCGTTGTGCTCTAAGAGCATGTGAAGCCCCGGCATCAACGAGGCGGAGATGCAGAACACTCAATGGTTCCAGGCAGCTGTTTTTCCAATCCTCCACAACCGTGCCCATACCAGGTGTAACAGAACTGAGATTGAATGCCCCGGAACGAAGCCCTCACCGAACCCAGTAATTCAGCCACTAAGGTGACAAAGATGATCGCACAGCTGAGCCCGCCACAAGCCAGGGCATCTCGGCAGAGCATTGTTAAAAGCAGAACAGTAAGACAAAGGACAATTTTGGAAAACAGATACACGAATGCTACGTAAGATTGCGTGTCCACTGGCAAGCACAAATGGTGGCATCAACAGCAGTGCAAAGGACGACGACCTTAGAAATTAAGGTACACGCAGAACATTTGAGCGTTTGCTGATTGGGCATTGGACCACGAGGTTTGGGTACAGGTTGTCGCCATGCAAGAGAGCACCACGAGATGAAGCTTGATGACACGCATGGCTAAGCCATATATGTGTGTCAGCGTACATTAATAGGTATAAATGTATATGCATGCCTTAATAATATACAGACATACATATGTGCAATCACGTATTGTCATTCTTTGTGCAGGAATAGGGGGGGGCACCTATCATGGTGTAGTGATTACATGCTTGTATATGTTGCACATTTGACCGTCTGCTAGTTTTGGTAGCTACAGTTCCACTGTTCTGCTGCGACTGAGGTGCTCATCCGCCAAGTCATGTTGCCGAAGAAGGCAGGAGTTGGCCTGCAAGTTGCCGGCGACGCAGCTGCAGCGAGTATGTAGGAAGTTCTTTTTGTATCGTAGTCTTTGCAAGATGTCAACACAACTCTGAAAGCCTACTGTAGTATGATCTTCACATACTGATGTTCAATTCCGGCCCCAGCTCGGCCACTCGTCATTTTACCTACTATTCTGGGATCCATGTTGGGGTCACCCGTTTCCCATACTCCTTGTTTTGATGGGCCAGGGCTTGGGATACTGGAAGAGCGACAGCGCTGGCTCTCACTCTGGCTTTATGGCTTCTGTGTTTCTCCGCATGCTCGACCCCTGGTATATGTGTATATATATATACACACACACACACATACAGACTCTCTCTCTCTCTCTCTCTCTATATATATATGTATATAGATTATTTATATGGTATATGTATATATATATATACATATGTATATATAAATTATGTAAATTATGTATTTATTTATTTGTTTACTTGTTTATTCGTTTATTTATATATGTATTGGCATTTATGTTTGCATCTGCATGTATGTATTACGTAGCTTAACGGGAAGACAGTAAGACAGGGAAAACCATGCTGCCTGACTTTGTATAATCAGGCATACATGCATGCATACGTACATGCCAAGCCTCCCACTAAATGCATGCCCGCCAAGGTCTAAAGAAGATCGTGGACTTGCGAATTCCTGATCCGCCCGATCCTTTGCGTTGCTGAGTGGCCCTTGCACATGAGCCGTCACGATGGGCAGAATGTGCACGCAGAACGGCAGTCACACGTGAACAGCACGAACCTTGCAAGTTTTGACCAATACTTGTCATGACCCCCATCATCACGTTCAGAACGACGTTAACCATCATAATCATCATGAACATCATCATCATCACCATGACCAACAGACGGCCTGGGCGGTGCCTTGATGTTTAGTTGCTGTGTCAACATGCATCCACTAAGCTGGGCAGCAATGCCTTCCTCGCACCCGCGCTTAGGCTGGAGCTGTACACGTTCGTGTGGAGGAAAGGAGAGTGTCAGCGAGATGTGGCAGGCGAGCGTGTTGAGCCTTAGGCCCAAAACTTCTTGCACAACAGCCACCTTTGTTTTAAATTCGCATCGCGAGCCAATGCCTAGGTACATCCGAGTGCTCCTGCACAAAGTTCCCTCAAAGCACAAAGCAGGCAACATCCTGTCGAAGGTGGCCACATCTGGCGAGCTCGGGCCTCACACTCCAGGTCTCACCTCTCTGTGTGCGTGCGTGTGTGCGTGCGTGTGTGCGTGTGTGTGTCTGTGTGTCTTCGGCTGTAAGGTTACTATAAGCGTTGCTATATATAAGGATTGCAGGTTTGGGATCAGGTGGTTTGCCTTTGGGGACATGTTCTCCGTGTCAGACTTGTCAGACAAGGAGTACCCTCAGCCGAGAAGCTGATTTGTTGCCAAGGTTCCGTCCAGACGATGTGCGTTGCTTGAAGTTCTACTGATACGTTGCTTGCGGGCTTGTCACGATTTCAATCCCGGAGCCCGTACTTTTGCCCCCCAAGGCTTTTACTTCGACTACTTCGACAGAACGGACAATCAAGATGACCAAGCTTATGTGGCGCAGATCATGCTGGATCAGCTCATTGAGCAGCCGGAGTGGGTGCTGCCCTACCTCCCCAAGGTGGTCTCAAAGCTTGCCATGGTGCCAGGGGCGACCAACAAATCGGTACAAGCGTTGAAATCCTGCACCTCAAACGTTTCTGGGTTCAACGTTGATGGGGAGTCGCTTTCGGGCAGTGGCAGAAACCCGCAGATGCATATGCACATATCACATCATGTCACCCGAGGTCTCTGACGTCGTGGAGGCACTCACGCATGTGGTGCAGGCTTCTCGCCTGGCGGCCAGAACAGATCCCAAGGTTAACAGGGAAGGAACCGATGGGCGAGTACTCGCTGACCTGATCAATTTGATTTCCTTTGGCCAATTCACGGAGACGGTGAACTCCGTCGCGCGAATGTCTCTGGAGGATTGTGATCCTGCAACTCTGAAGACGTTCCTGCGGGAGGCCTGCGAAGCCGTGTGTGCACTTTAGGGCTTTAGGGTTTAGGGTTTAGGATGGATACAGGCGGCACAGGCCTAGGGCCTAACAGCAACCAAATTCTCGGGCACCGCATAATTCAAGCGTCCAGATTTCAAGCCAACCCTGACCAGTGCAGGCCTTCCAGCGGTGGGAGGACGCCGTGGCCGGAAACGACAGCAATGCCAAAGGATACTTCAGCTGCGCTTTAACTGCTTGGGTGAAGCTGCTCCTTACTTCGCAAAAAGGAGACTTTGCAACAATACTTAGGTGGTCTCCTGCACTGGCATGGCTTCATGCCCTTACATCAACCAGCAAACCAGTTTAAACATTACATCACTGTAAGTGCCTATATGCACAGTTATATGAAGAAGTTCTATGGTATTTGTAGGAGTCTGTGCAGTAACTTAATCACAACAACTAATAACGATACTAATAATAGCAGTAGCAAAAAAAGTTAATCACACTATTATATTGTTATTGTGATTTATATATGTACAGATCTGTGCGTGTGTGCGTATGTATGGATTGATGCAGGCAAGCAAGCATGTAATGTAATGTACTGCACTAATGGACTGTGGTAGATAGACAGCTAGATTAGCTAGATGCAGATAGATAGATAGAAACATGTGCTGAATGGTTGTTGAACACACGAGGCTGCGGCCGGGCCAGTACAACACCTGGGCAACTCGGTCGCGTGTAGCCGGGAATTCCTGGACACATGTGGCCCGTTTATCATTATCATAACTATCATCATCCGTGCCAACATCCCAAGATGTTTCATCGTCACCATCCATCAGCAGAACCGTTAGCATAAATACACTCGCCGACCTTATTTTACTTACCATGTCCCCCCCCCCCCGCCAGCACCGTCCTCAATATCATCAGAGACATAAGTTCATCATCGCCTTGACACCATGGAATACTATCCATCGGTCGCACCACAACTACAACCAGGAATGAATGTGTTACAAATAACGACTTGTGCCATTCAGCCTACGACGTACATGGCACAGCAGATGTCATGCACGCAGGTAGTGCCGCCGGGCAACACAAATCAAGGCTGATGCTCATGAATACTGGACCTGCAGGGCAAGCGTGTCCATCCATATCTGGAGCCTCCATTCAAGACGAAATATCAGGCATGACAGTACGAGCGTTTAAACCTGAAGCCCGAAACCAGGTGACTGAGCTAGCCGAGCTTGAGAAGCGCACCCACGCGAAGGGCAACGTGGAGAGCTGGGGGCAGATGGCGCAGGAAACATAGGGTCTCAAAAAGGTTTTGTCAAGTCTTCCGGGAGACGGATTGATGAGGGAGATGTGCATGTTTCTGCTGCTACTTCGAAGAGTCAACAGCAACACCTGAGACTCACTCATACATGCTGGACACCAATAAATCTAAAATGGGACAGAAGACAGAGCAAGCGGTGTCCGGGTCACCCGCAACAGGGCTTGTCAGTTGGGGAGGCAGGAAAGGGAGATGCCCCGAAAACTTGCAGCTTCTACGTCCATTTGATGTTTTGGAAATTTTCGGTTGTTATCTTTATCGCATCCTTTACCTGGCTACACGCCCTCCCTCGCGATACCCCCCCTCAAATATTCGGCAGCTGGTACTGGAGCTTGATTTCGGGAGCCGAAAGATGTTTCACATACAAACGCCAGTTGAGCCAGTTGAGAGAATCCCTGCCAATATTATGTACTGTTCTCTAGCTACTAGTATATTATAGTATTATACATTACTATAAGACTACAGATTATTGTATCATATTGCAACACGAAGTTGGTAGTAGCTTTCGTCGTGCTGGCTTTTTAAACCTCGAGGTTTCGAGTTGGAGATTGGTGGCAAGTGAAGATTCCCACTGGTATTGCAGTGAAAGACTAGTCCACGAGCAAGCAGATGTGCTGTAGGACGGGAGGAATACACAGTAAGAGCCATGACTGAGAACTCAACGTCTGGGTTCAATACTTCCCGTGTCTTGCACCGTGAAAACATCAATGTCAGATTCCTCGGCCGCAGAAATGGCAAGTGGATATTGCGTTCTTTTTGGGCGGCTTCGTGCCAGTTGCGAGGGTTCATAGTGCAGTCTCCAACCCTGAAGCCCAAAGTAGAGCAACTTCAGCTGAAAAGATTCCTGCCAGGCCTTGGCGGGCCATGCACCTGACTTGGGCTTGTCTCCCGATGACACCTGTCTGCGACCTCGGTTTGGTTCTAATTTTTGGGTTTTCGCATTGTGGCCTACGAAGGTCGTACTGCTCTGTCTCAGTGACACCTGAAAACTTCGAGATCTGCTGCCAGGAATGGGATCAGATGCTGCAGGTTCTGCGAGCATTCTTCGTCAGATTACTCGAGGGCCCTCTCAGTGTCAATGACGAGGTCCAGAATGCAGTCACGCCTGCAGACGACACATTTAAGAAAGAGCCTTGACTGAGTCGAAGTTGCCCTGAGACCTGCTCGATGACATGAGGCCTCGAAGTGGCAGGAAGCATGCGGAGTCCACGCAAGTTGCCTTCCGAGGAGAATGCTTCGCGTGCCAAAATCCGAAATGAGTTGCTTGAGACTCATTGGATGAAGTTGCTGTCACATGGGTGCACTGAAGATGAGTCTGGCACCCAGCATCTTCCCAACATTTCGCAAGTCATACAGTACTACATGCTCATTTGCACCTGGCAAAAAATTGTCCAGGTCCAACGAGCTTTTCAAGCGATGCCCGGAAGCTTGTCAGTCTCTTCGGTGCCATGCTTTGGTTCATGCTAGTCATGTGGGGCTTCCTTAGTACTTTCAGAAACAGATCTGGGCGAAGGAAAGCGAGAAAGTGAAGCTGGCGAGCAACCTCGTCCAGGAGTGGCATAAAAGGAACTCCGAAGAAACCACGCGGGAGACCAAGGCAGGCAGATTTGTAAGTCTTCTAGCTAATTTTTTTTTTGAAAACCGAATTCAAACTTCAGGTTTAGGGCTTGGGCCTCCGGCTTGGAGCCATAAATCCCCAAAGTCGCTGAGACGACAGTCACTGCGAAGGAGCCTTCTCGGCTCCATTTTTGTTGGCTCCTTCCTCAGAGCAATAGGAAGGCGGTAAACCAGTAGCGCAGCGGCCTCTGAGTCTCCATTGTAGTTCTTTTTTTGGGGCTACCTTCCTATGGAATCCTAAGGGGCTACCTTCTATGGAATCCTCAAGTTAAAGTTGGGTAGACCAAAAAGAACTACAATGGAGGCTTGGTAGTGCTGATCTCATGTCGCGTTTTACCATTTACCACCGCCGCCACACGCCCACCTCATCCCTGGATCAATGAATCATACACGCACATTCCTGAGAGGCTGCGGCATTCCAGCAAGAGCGCCCGGATGGAGGTTGGAAGCACACCGGTGGAAAGCCCGTCTCTCAAATCACGGTGGCCCGGACCCAGCCAGGTTTCGTGTCTAGGGTTGTTGAGTTCACGCTAGTTGCTCCTGTTTGATAATGTGCTTGGGCTGATGAGTGTTCTGCGACCGGGACAAGCGTTCAGATGTTGCAAAGACCAGCAGCATGCGATGCGAGCCAGAAGAACCGGAAGCACTTGGAGACAGAAGTCTTACCCATCTTGTCGGCAATTCCCGTGAGACGCCTCGCAAGAGTTGTCACTGTGCTTAACACAGTCATGTTTTCACCACCGGCAACAACGCCGATGCCACCACCACCACCACCACCGCCACCGCCACCGCTACCATCTCAATCAAAACCAGCATCCCTCAGCAGAGCGGCTGCAGCAACGACAACGGTGAACACGGCCGGCACCACCAAATACCGAGAGCAGCAAGAGTAGGAGCGCCAGAAAAGCAGCAAGATATTGCAGGCAGTCTTCTGCAACAACTGCTGAATCTTTATGTTCTAAACTTACAATCCAAACCCCCCAAACACCCCAAAATCTCTTAAACCCTAACCCCTAGGTGGGGTGTTGTTTCTGGTTTCACGCCGACTTCGCACCTTGGAACCTCGCCTGGCTTGCCCGAGTTGTGAGAGCGTAAACCCTAGGTGGGCCGAACCCCCTTGTTCCTGTAAACACCTTCAACGACCCTAGTCATGACCCTAAAACTCTGTGACCTCAAGGTCGGATCTATCGTCAGTGGCCACATCACCAACTCCTCGAAAGAGTTCGGCGTGTACGTCAACTTCGGCTGCGAGAAAGACGGAAGGCTTCTAGGATCCTAGGGCTTTACTGCAAGCGGTTTGGGGCTGTCGGCCTTTAGGTGATCTGGGGTTGCAGGGCTTATGGACTACCTCAGACCTTCAGGCGGTTGCATAAGCCCTGATGCAAAAAAATCGGGACTACTAGAATGGTTTAGGATGGTTGGGCGCTGACGAAATTACAAGGGCTCCCAGTCCTGTTGCAAGAGTTCTTGACCCTGGTTCCTGGATAGGCTAAGAGCCATGAAGAACAAAAAGCCCCCATGTGTTAAGCCTCGCCGCCTCACTCGGCTCGGCTGCACAGGCGCGAAGGGTAAGTTTAAGTTTCAATCACGGTTTCTTTGTTCAGGCCCAACTACAGGCGATTTTGCACCTTGTGTTCCGAGGGAGAGGGGGTCCAGACTGGAAACCGGCTCCAGGCTGATTTATCATAGGCCGGTGCCGCATCCGGAAGGCAGCAACTCAGCAACGCGCAGCGCAGGCGGCCATGGTGGATGACCGGGATCGAGAGAGGGAAGAGACAGCTCTGCGGCAGGCCTACACCGCTGCAGCGATCCGCAAGAATGAGGAGATCATTGCGGCCGAGATCCAAGCTGAAGATGATGGTCCGGAAGCTTCGAACCAGAGCCCGAAGATCGAGAAGGATCTCAAGGACCAAGAGGCCTTGCAGGTGACCGTGTGGTCCATGAGTGGGGCGAAGCTTTGCAGCTTGCGCCTTGCTGCCACGGCTGCTTGCAGCGATGTCATGCAGGAAGCGGCCAAGGCCAGTGCAATCCGGCAGTCGGAGTTGAAGCTCTTCTGGGAAGATCGGGAGCTGGCTTTGAAGACTCGGCTCTCCGACATCGCCTCCGGTTGCTCTCTGGACCTGAACCTCCTTCGCATCGATCCGGAGTGGCAGACTTTCAACGAGGTCGTCTCGTATGCTGGTTGCCAGCTCGCCGTAGCCCCCGCCAGGCTCCAGGCGGACAAGCAGCTGGTTTTGCGTGCAGTCAGACAGAATGGCCATGCCCTGGAGTACGCCTCCGAGTCTTTGAAAGCAGAGAAGGAGGTCGTCCTCGCAGCCGTCCAGGATGCTGGGCTTGCCCTGCAATTTGCCAGCGCTCGGATGCGAGACGACGTCGAGGTCGTTCAGGCGGCTGTGACCCAAAATGGCAATGCCTTGAACTTTGCCTCTTCAAGACTACAGGGAGATGCGGAGCTGGTCTTGGCCGCAGTGGCTTCGCCTGGCGCTTTTCAGTTTGCATCAGAAGCTCTTCGCTGCGATCGCAACGTCGTCTTGGCAGCCGTGGACTTGAACGGCCTTTGTCTGGAGTTCGCTTCGGGGCAACTCAAAGAAGATCGGGAAGTGGTGCTGACGGCTGTGCGACAGGATGGGCTTGCCCTGGAGTTTGCTTTTGAGGAGCTTCGTGCCGACCGTGAAATCGTCATGGAAGCTGTGCAAGTGAACGGCTTGGCTTTGTGGGATGCGCATGAGAGCCTGAAAGCCGACAGAGAGATCTTGGCAAATTGCCGTTGGGGCTGACGCTGCACGGCCAGAAAGCCAGAAGTCTGGCGATGACGGTCAGCGTCGTAACCAGAAACGCCACCACCACATCAGCATCATCATAAGGAACATGATTGAACATGGCTTAGCATCTTGAGTGGTTGTTATATCTCTTGATGGTCGGCTTTGTCCTGTAGGACTCAAGCAAGTTGCTTGAAATTCATTGAGGGTACTACATCTGGTTCTGTGAAGGTTTTCGGATAAGTTTTGAGCATGGGTTAGTAGCAGAAATCTGCGGCCAACAGGACTTGGGCTAGACCTAGGGTCCCCTATGTTCGGAAACCCCCATCTAGGCCAGAAATCCTGTCCGAACCGGCCAAAAGAAGCGAGCCCCCGAATGAAAACAATGGAAGCTCCTTCAAGATGTTGGAGATGTGGCGATGTGGTCGCCCTGAAGTGCGAAGCTTTTGTGTACGATTTCTCAGAGGAGGCTCAAGCACAGACATAGATGTTCTTAGACCTCGTATATGCGGTTTCTTAGATTCTTTTGGACCTTTCAAGATTTGCACCGGTTTACAACATCCGTCCATCCATCTATCGGGCTCCACAGTTCCGCGCTCTGCTCGAAACTCATTCGCATTTCCTCTCAGCACATCAGTCTGAAATTCGTTGATGCCTCACGAAGCAAGGAGGATGAGTTTCGACCTTGGCGAAGTAGGTCATAGTTATCATCGTTTCAACCGAAGATGAGTGTAGGCAAGAGGCCATGCATCTGGAAAGCAGAAGTGTATCTGCGCAGTAAGACTTCGCCGTCTTGTAAATCTGACCTTGTAAAGTCTTGCTTTATGCCAGGATGCTGTGCCCATGATGTCTTTTCCTTCAGCATCCTTTGAAGAAGAATCCAGACAGCCGGTAAAAACAAGGTGCATGGCCGCGACCGCTTCGATGCAACACCCCGATGCACAAACACAGACCGCCTGACGAATGCTAAGGTAAAACATAGGTCTGAGGCTCACTATTCCAGAAGCAGTCAGAATTTGTATGTGAATCCAGGGGCACCAGACACATGTTTTGAAAAGCTACCAACAACACTTCTCTCGTTGGTCTTGTTGATCTTGAGCTCCTGGGTGTTTTTTTCCTCTTTCAGGCAACGGAAGTCGAGAACATAAGTTGAAGATGCAAAACTGCAACCCCAGGTCCCAGCCCCCAACACCACGACAGAAATTGATAGAGGTAGCTCGCGAAGAGTAGACGAGCTACCGAGATGTACCTCGGAGTGTGAAGGGATGCCACACTTCGTCTGTCACCAGAGCTTGATTGCGAATTTTTGAGCTTGGCTTAGATGTCACCAGCTTCGGATCCTTCCCAATCAACAGGTCTCTCACTGCTCGTTTGGTCTAGCTGTGATAGCACGTGTCTGGATGAACAGGCCCATCGGAAGCACACCAACAGTTTGCTGTACTATGCTATCCAGAATCTGAGACCCGAACTGTGAGAGTGGAAAACCCCAAGTTTGTGATCTCCGGCACCAAGGCTCAGTGTCCCCCAAGCCGACTGGAAGAAGTATCGAGTCGGAGATCGGATTGAGCGCATGGTGGTGCACAAGGTCAAGGTAGAGCCTTGGCGACATCGGCCCAGGGTTTTACGGTTTAGACCTAGCAAAGGCTTTTGCAGGATGGAAGCAAAAAAGAGGGCTTAAAGGGGGGTTCGGGTAGCACTGATAGGTTTTTGTAAGTTGGGGCTTTGTGGCGAAGCGCAGAGCTTCGGCAGTCTCGGGGCTTATGTAGGTACATGGACAATGTTTACGTAACTTAGGACGGAGTCACCTGAGAGATAAAGCCACTTAAAGAGAAACTGCCCCTAAACCCTTTTACCAATGAGATTTTTCGCCAACGGACCTCTTGTTCTCAGAAACCCATTGACACAATCCCGCCAATAACCCCTTCAAGGCAGCTACAGAGCCGTGGTGTAACCCCTAGAACCCTCCTAAGGCCACCCTTACAGAAACCGTATGGAACCCTTATGGAACCCTCATGAAACCAAACCCTCATAAAGCCCCCAGAAGCCTTGTAGAACCGTTTAAGTTATGAATCAGAGCTATTATGAACCCTCATAATATGCCATAAAACCCTAAACCGAAAAAAACCCTAAGCGCTGATGGGTTCATTTATGGGCTAGTCCGGACCTGCATTCCTTTCAACATTGTGGGCTTGTCTTGGAGTGCTCCCCGAACAACCTCGCTTGTGGGCTTTGTTCCTTTGCTATGCGAGAGGGAAAAAAAGCCATAAAACCCTAAACCCTCCCCAAACCCTAAGCCCTAAGCGATGTGAGTCGAAACCCTAAGCCGTAAAACCCCAGACCCTCCCTAAACCCTAAGCCATAAAACCCTAGAAGCTTTCCAAACCGCAAGGAGCGGAAGTTTGTGGACCTCCTCGTCGTCGGCTCGAAGGGCCAATCGGTGGGCCTGGCCGCCTCCAAACAGGCCGGAGAGAGTTTTTGGGCTTTCAGGGTGCTGTCGGGGTTTCGGCTTTTAGGGGTTTTAGGGTTTGGGAGAGAGGGAGAGAGGAGTGAGTCGGTGGGTTTAGGGTCAGGGAGTGGTGGTGGTTATGTTCGGGCCGCTTTAGGGATTAGGAAATATACTGTTTCTGTGACACTGGCTATCATCTAGGATGAGGGCATGTGCACTGTAGCCCTCCTCAAAAAAAGAGTTTAGGGGTTTAGGATTTAATGTTGGGGCCAGCAACACATGACCAGACTTAGCCCTGCATCTTTGCTGCATGGTACGCACGCCTCTGTAAGAAGCTCACAAGGCTCGCTGAATAGTATTTTATTGTATTATATTATAAGATATTATATTATATGAAATTAAGTAGGATCCGCAGTATCGGGATCTGGCCTTGAGCCGATGCGTTAGATCTTCTTCTCCCGTCCCATTCACCATACTATTGTCGGAGCTCCCTCGATCCTAAACACTGCGCCGTATAGTCCACCCCAAGCCGCAACACAGGGGTACCTTAAACCCGAAAAAGGACTGCGTAGTTACCATTATCAATCCCTAGGGCTCCTCAACAGCCATGGTCGCATCATAAAATAACAAAAAGGCTCTCTTGCAGTTCCTGCTGGTGGATTTCTATTTAGGATCCTATAAGGGAAGCCCAACAAGGAAATTCAACGGAGACTACAGGTATCAACAGGAGTAGAGCTCCGTTTGGCACAGGTGGCTGAGCGTGCCCTTCGGTGGATCGCCTCCTCCGCGGAGATCAGGAACAATTTCCGCACTTCCATCCAGAACCTCGGCAGAGTGGAGTTAGAGGGTTTCGGGTTCAGGAGTTCAGGGTTCTGAGGTTTTTGAGTCCAGCGTTTTCATCTTAGAGCCCCCCTTGGGCTGCTTTTAGGGGCCAGAAACGGCCCGAGATGCCATTGCATCCGGAGACTGAGGACTCTTTGGGCCAAGCTTGTCACTGCCGTTGCTCTGCCGCAATCCCCATGTTCTTGAAGCCATTGGGCTGCTGATTCGTGCAGATGGTAGCGAAAGGCTCTTTTTCCATGCCTGCCTGCTAGCTTGGTGTCGACCGTTCTGCATGTTCGGCTGGTCGATATTGTGATGCCTCGCAACTCAGGGCCAAGCAAGTCCATCATAACCCCTGTGTGAGAGAGGCCAGCTTGATCAATCACCTGAAACGCTCAGGATGCGGCAGACAAGTGGGAGGCGAGCCTGCAACTCTTGGGGGAAGCTCCCACTGCCAAGCAGCAGCCCAGCTAAAGGAATGATGGGATGGTTCTGTGTTGTCTGAGGTCTGGAACATTGCAACAGACTGTCTCCGAGTATCCAAAAGTGCAAGATCGGCACACCCCCATCTTCAAACCTTTCATGTTGCACTTGAGTTTCGGCTCGGTTCCGATGACCAGTGACGCTGTGGAGCTAGTATAGGGGCCTTATAATAATAACAATGACAATAATAGTAATAACAACAATAGTAATAAGAATAATAGTAATAAT